ATATTATTCTCTAAGTCTTTATATAATTTTTTTAATATAGACCTCTAAGTGACATTATAACAGATCATAAAATAATCAAAGCAGAAGCTGCATGCACTTGTTTTTGCAAAAGATTAAAAAGCAAACTGCAAGTAATTCATAATGTTTTTCTTCAATATAAGAAATTATTTCATATGATACAAGTCTTTTTAAAAGACAGTAAAGTATGCTTATTTATAAGACATTGAATGACATTAAACAGTTTAATTGTAATTTTGATTAATTTGCATGACACTAATCACTGCTCATAAGTAATTGATTATATTGATTAATCAAGTTCATTGCCCAATCTACTTGTCATAAAGAGTGTGTTTTTCTTATAGCAAAGCCACATCGGGCTATCTGCTACGTCCACCAAGGGGAATTGAACCTCTGATTTTAGCATTGTAAATCCAAAGACTTACTGCTGTCCCACTGGGAAACACTTGTCATAAAGAACAAAGTAAAGAATAGCTGCTTAACACATGAAGTACTGGTAATTCAGTGGTTAGAGCATCTATCTCGAAACATTAATGTATGTCAGGGTATTAAATAACAAACAAACAAAATAAATAAATAAAAATATGATAAAAACTGTTAAATCATATGTTATTTTATTGTTCTTTCTTCTTTTTAAAAAATAAGACTTTCACAGTGATAGAACTTTAATAATGTTTTTTTTTTCAAATCAGTGTCTCCCATTTGAACAATAGCTGACAGAGAAAAAAGCAGTTCATCTCAAGATGCCATGGTGAAGACAAACTATCTTCCCTGTAAGAAAAAATGCCTGATGGTCAATTAATGTATCTGAGTATTGTGTGCACCAGAGTAAGAAAAATTGTGTTGTTTATGTGAGTGATTCTGTGTGTCCACACTGAACTGGAAAAAAATAGAAATTTTGAAAAATCTACATATTAAATGAGAGGGTAGCTAACTCATGGTGCCATCCTGTACCACAATATGATTTCTTTTTAATTTCTGTTTCTTCAGATTTTAGTTAACACAGAAAGATAATCAAGTAAACAACTAAAGTTCTCCTTACTCTAGCTGGACACAGAGCTGAGATGATTCTTATTGTTAATAAACTTGCTTCCTTTCATGAAAGGCAGCTAGGACTTCACTCATGATGTCTCAAAATAGATATCTGTCTTTTCTGTCAGCAAAGTGAGTAATGGCTCAGGGCTTCTTGCCCCTGTGATAAGGCAAGAGTGGTCTTAGGTCATGTGAGTGACATGTGAGCAGTCTGGCTTTGTTTGTTTTGTACATAAAAAGGTCAGGTTCTCTCCTATAAAGACAGATTTTGATAGTGAGACTGATTTCAAATAGTTTTGTGCTAAATAAATATAACAAGCATCTCTATCTTCTTATAATATTATAATACTTATTCTGTTTATGTGCAGGTTTCACATAATATGTGGTAGAGAAAGTCCTTAAGTTGATTTAGTTTTATCTGCCATTGTTCCTTTGTTATTCTGAACTAGATAATACCTGTTCTGCCTGAGGAGGAAGGCTATTGCTGCAATACTGTATGTTGTGCAAGAATCTTAACATAAATAAATATTATGAGGTACTTTGGAAAAATCTTCATTGTAAAGGGAAAAAGAAATGACAAGTTAACCATATTTTTCCAATTTCTTTATATTATGATTTTCAACAATAATATCAATAAATTGTATTGAATTAAATAAACTTTAATACCAAATTTATTCATATAACTATGAATATAACTATGGGAATAGAAATGCTGCACTCCAGTTAGATTCCAATAATCTCTTATTTTAGTACATTACAATTAGACACATTGTTTGGTATATTCTCATCATCATAATTACTTCAGTTTTTATTGATGCTATTTTTTTGTTTTACTTTTCTTTTGCTAACTGTATACTGAGATCATAAAAATAAGAGGAATAAAAACTGCTTGTTTCAGAATTTTCATGCAAAACTACACAAAGGGGTATATGAACCTTGCCCATAATTTTGAACTGTTAGACTATAAGGAAAGCATTTTGATAATAGAGTTAGAAAAGAAAACTACCTTTACACTCCAAATAATTATAAGAGAACTATTATTGTAACCAACATTTCACCTTTGTGGCTTCGTCACGGCTAGTACATAAAACTGTTTGATATTACTATATTCATTAAATTATAAAACTGCTTGTGATGTTCTTTTTATTGAGTCTGCCATAACATACCTTACTGTTGTTTCACTTATTGTTCTAATACTATATTATACTTATGATAGTAACTATATAGCTATACTAACATATGAGATATATTACTTCTATGAAATATAAAAATAAGAGAATCACAAAATAGTTTATGGTTAGCTACAAAAACAAAAAGTTGGAAAATATAAGCTGCTAAGAAACAAAAATTAAAGGTTAAAAGGATACAAGGTTTACTAGTAGTGTTAAAACAAATTGTAAGACTGTGTGACATGCCAGAGTATGTAAGTGTTAAACTAAAAGTAATAAATTTTGTCTGGTTTTATGGACTCCATATAGCTCAAGTATATGGCCATGGGAGGGTTTTAATCCACAGGTGTGAGAAGGTTTCAATTCCATTAGTAATTTTTCTGACAAACCATTTTCTTTTTCTAAACATTTGAGTATCTTTTTGATTTCTTCTTCGACCATCTTGACTGGATTTTTGTTTAATGTAGCATTGATGGATGCATCTTCAAGATGTTCTTCTATTTTACCTTTTGTAACTGTTTTTGGTTAAGACTACAAAACCTTTCCCTTTGTTTGATTCTTTTCTGGTTAATTTTTCATTGGTTTGGAGCTCTTTTATAGCTGCATTTTCTGCTGGTGAGATGTTATCTTTTTCTTGATGGTTTTTTTGTGTAGCTACAATATTTTGATCTAGTGGCATAGGAAGGAGATCTTGTGCCCCATGGTTGTTGATGTTTTTTGTGAGTCAAATGGGTGATTGTTGAATGATAGATGATACTGATTATCTTCTTGGTGATTTGTATCTCCCATGGGGTCTTGTTTAGTAGAGGATGGATGTGTTGTCTGAAATATCTTTAGAAATTTTACTTGTATCTTCTTTTTTTTCTAACTTTATTATCAAAATGTATAAATCCCATCAGTATGCATTACAAATTTTATAAGGACTGCAATGAGTTTATAGCACTCACCACCAACTCTTGGTTTACTCTTGTGTGACTGAACAGTTGAATTTGACCATAACTTTTATAGCAAACCCACAGCCCCAGTGTGCAGAGTGAGTTCCTGCAGCAACAGTTCTTCAAACCATGAACTCACAGATTCACAGTCTGCTCAAATATATATAAAGAAATAAGTAAAAAAAAACGTTATGATTTGATACCAGGCACTGTAACTTTAGTATTTTCTTTCTTTTCTGAGCATTGAAATATGTCCAAATACAATTTATGATAAATAAAAAAAGCATTAATATGATAATAATAGGGAACACAAAATTATACCCAATGCAATATGTAAAATAGGTGCTGAAAAAAATTTGAAAGTAGTATAGTCTACATGTTATAAATACTAATGGTATTCATATCTCTTTGTGGTGTTGAGAGAAAGATAGTAATAGCCCATTCTTTATGTTGGAAGTTCCATCTAGCCCGTCCCCCTCTTTCTGATATGTGTGACTGGAATACAACAACAATATAGGTTTTGCGGTTGCTATCAAGTGATTACACTGTGTCCAGAATTAGGCTTCTACTGAAGCAGTATTCCAAATAGCATATACACTAGTGTCTTTCATAAGTGGTGTCTCGGTTCATATGCATTACAGATAACATTAATTAGTTAACTTCACTCACCACCAAATCTTGAGTTACTCTCGTGTGACTGAACAAGTAACATCATTTAGTTAACTGCAACTCCACTTATTACTGTTCCTCATTCAATCCATTGCTACAACTTTAATATAGGCCTATATACTTTTGTACCACAAAAAGTGTATTGTTTGGGGTGGGGGCTCTTTCATCTATGATATATGTCGACTGCAATGTTCTAAGTGACATATACTGAGGTACAAGGGATCTGGTGTCAATAATGGCATAAGATAGCTCATATCAGATTTGTAAGAAAATTTATACAAGTAGGCATTCATAGGCATTGGTCTCCTAGGAAGCATTGATGAACACCTTCTCAATCCCAGAGGTACCAAGCTTCCAAGCAACCCAGCATTTGACCATACCACCCTTGTTGATGCTACACAACGAGTAATCACGTTGAGCCAAGAAGAAATGGGACCCATTCATCAGATGTTGCACTAAAGGATGCAGTGGAACTACACATTGTCCATGTCAGATGTGCTCTCACCTCTGATGAAAGAGGTGCTCTGCTTGCAAGAGGGCCAAAGCCAGGGTGACTTAAAATCCACCAATGTGGCCAACCACAAGATAGTAGTAGCAATGGAGAATATGCTGGTGGGAATAAGGTGAGAGAGAACAGAGCCTCACACTGATTCTGGGTTATTTTTACATTTTTGTATATTATTAATAGATGTATATATATAGATTATTCAATTTTAAAGTATTGTGTGTGTATATATATATATATATAATATATATATATATTAAGTTCATTACTATTTTATAGTGCTGATTTTAATTGCCTATTAAGAATTAATGTAATTAATACTGTTAAAGCTATTTATTTCATTATATATAGGTAACTCTTTGTATATTCTTTAAAATTCTCTCCAGTATTTTTTCTTGTCAAGGATTATTTCAATTAGTTAAATGGTTAGTTTTGTGATGTATTTTCATTAGACTAATTTGATTATGGTGTTCTTAACCTTATCCTTTTGTGTGTATAAGAAATTTTTACATTTGATTATTTACACATTGTTTTTTTTATTAGTGTAAAGGGCTTCATTTAAGTTTATGTATATTGGTAAAGGGTATTCTTAAATGTATTCCTATCACTTTTAATAGTTATTTTGTGTAAAGATTGTGGAAATTTTTCTTTCTCTATTGGCCATAGAAGAGTAGTGTTTTTGTATTTTGTTTGATTATTGGAGAGTATTCTCATTCTTAGTTTCAATGATGTAGTCAATTGTTTTTTGGTTTGTTTTTCATTTACTGTAATTAATGTATTGATCCATGTGCATCTATGTTAAAGGGTTTATACTTTATAATAAAATGTAGTGTATCAGACTACTCCTTCCTAAGCAGGGTAGGTGATCATTATTAAAGTAATTTTTATATGTATATTGTTGCGTCAGCGAGTCACATGACTACTGTGACGCAACGTTTCTAGAACTATCATGTACTTTGGCGAATGCTCTAGTATTTGCTAGATAGGGTAGGCTGGTATATAAAAGAGGGGAATGTAATGTGTGTGGGTAGACAGTGAGTAATTGAACTGCAGTCAGAGAGCACGAGAGACGTTACAGCGTTTGTTTAGCGCGATTGTTGAAGTTGAGTGTATCGGTAAAGTTATATTTGGAAAGAATAAACCAGTTTTTATTAAGAAAGAACTTGTGTCGCTTAAGTTTCGTCGGAACGAAGTTACGGAAAATCAATTAACAAACGGAGACGTAACAATATAATTTTCTATGTTGAAGGATATTCTGATATGTGTATGACTTGTTAAATGTTTTTTTGTGTGTGTGAGTATATGTGTAGTTATTATTTTATTTTATTATCTAAAATTGATGATGTATTATATAAGTGATGTATGAAGGGTTTTCATCATATTATTTCAATGTTGATAAAAAAAAGTTTCATTTTTATGCCATATGTATTAATAAGTTTCTTTTTTTTATATATATATATTATTCTTATTGTATTTTTATTATTTCATTATATTACATTTTTAAATTATAGTTAAAGAGTTCTTGATTTTTGCTGTGTGAATTGTAGTCATCCATGATGGGTTGTGACATCCCTGTTGTTTATCTACCTGTTTATGGGGGAAAGAGAAAGCTAATGTGCTTCTTGACCATAGTGTGAGTGTGAAGTTAATTGATTTCCACATTAAATGTAATTGTCAGCTTAAGGTCAAGCCTGAAACAGAAGGAGAAGGAAATGTGTGGTATGCAGGCATACCATGCAATTTATACATTCTTATACTAATGTAGAAATTTTCAAAAACTTTCGTTTATTTTAAGTCTATGCAGTTTTCACATAACATGTGGTTCAGAATACCATTACGTTGACTTCGTTTTAACTGTCTTTGTTCTCTACAGAAAATTCCTGCTCTGCCCAAAGAGAATATTGCTGTAATGCTATATATTGTGCTGGCACAGTGGTGTGTTCGTGGACTAACAATGCTAGAAACCAGGTTTCGATGCCTGTGATGGGCAGAGCACAGATAGCCGATTGTGTAGCTTTGTGCTTAACTTCGAACAAACAAGCAAACGTAAATTGTGCAAGAAGGTCAATGACAGCAGTGCCCTTCACTGATAGAGCAGTTGTAATCTAGACATTACGGCCTTCCCTATGTTAAATCAGAATGCAGAAGACATTCCGTGTCCAAAAAGTAAGTACACACATTGTATTTTTCCACTGATGTAAATAAAAATTGCAGTCTGTTTTCATACTTGAACTCAGTTAGTCTAGTTAAATTCAGATATACTTCTTAATCTATCTTGCTACTCCTTCTGTTATAAAGTGGATTTATGTAAAGCTATTGAGGAAATAGTTAACCTGACAATACCACAAGTTTAAACAGCTTATTACTAAATCAGTTATTATGAAAAATTGACGAAACACTAGCAAGAAGTAGATCTGATCTCAAACCGAATTGCATTTTCAGTTTCTTTATGTAAACTGGTGTCCAAAAGTAAAGGAAGAAACTGTATTTTAAAATATTGATATATTACAACAAATGTTTATATACTGCTACTCCAATGATCCATGATAAACAGAATTTTACATACGTTTACATTCCAATCCAATTTTTCAACAAAACGATTTTTTCTATTAACAGAACAAAGTCTTATTTCTGTACGTTAAACTTCATAACATGAACTCTTTTGTTTGTTTGTTTAGCGCAAAGCTTTACAATGAACATCTGCGCTTTGTCCCCAGAGGGGAATCGAACCCCGTATTTTAAGTCCTGTACTTTTACCAATGACCCACCGGGGAAAAACATGAACACATCTATTTTTGTGGTGTTCATCACTGGGAGTTATACGAGGATCCCCTCACATTTTTGAGCTGCCTAACTGGTCTATACAATCTTAATGACGACGTTGATTTAACAATTGGAACCTACCAGTAACTATGGCATATTTGGCGTGGAGCAATTCTCCTACTTCACGTACTTTCAAGTTACTGCCATTTTCTTCCATAGTCTCATCTGAAAGTAAATTAAATATAGTTTTAAAGCAAAAACTACTAACGTTTCTTATGTAGCACTACATACAAGCACTCATCATTCAGCCACTCTCAAACATATTCGTATTCAAAAATAATAGTATTAATGACAACTGTAAACGTTTCTTTCAACTATTCTAAAGTTCAGAAAAGAGCTGTACAAGAATAAATACATCAGACTAACAGCTTTAATCGTTTGTAGTTAAACACAAAGCTACACAATGAGCTATATGCACAGTATATTCCCACCACGGGAATCGAAACCCTGTTTTCAGCGTTATAAGCCTTCAGACTTAACGTTGAACCATTGGCGGACAGACTCACAGCCATTCTGCATACTTTCAATAAAAATCACGACATCAACCAATTAAAATGAAAAATATTACCGTAAGTTTCAATAAATGAAAAGCTCTGACGTAAATCCACATGTTTTTAAATATAATTATCTACGCCATTAATAATCCGGCATATCTCGTGATAGTATTTAAACTTCTTACCGGGACTGACTTTGAAAGTTTTCTCTTTTGGTTTATTTACAGAAATTATAAGAAAACGTGCCCGTTTC